AGCCAGCACACGGTTTTGTTCAGTTAGGCTGCTCTATAGGAGACAGGGCAACAGCAGCGCGACGCTGCCACAGCCGACTTACTGTCAAACAGGTTCGTGGTTGGTTGGTGGTACACAAGTACTGTCATCGACAGTCGTTCGGTGGATCGACTGATAGGTCTGGTCTACCAGCGTCTCGGCGTGGCCTCGTTTGCGAAAATGCCCCGAGAGCATGCTTTGTTGAAAAGGAGAATTTGCGCGGTGCGGGGCGGAGCGGCGCGGCACGGGGCGACGAGGATCGCGATGCAGTGCACAGGCGTATGTACAGAACATGGACAACAGCCGAAGGAACAAACGGAATGGAACAGGCGCAGGCGTTGGCACATGCATTACAACGTATTGATTGGAGGAGCGAGGGTGAGGCAAGCAGCACCGCCTAGCTATTGTCCAACGCACATCGTCGCCATGAATGCCGCGCCATTGGCAATGCGTGCTCACCAAGCCGGGTAGCGCTGCATCGGACGGTGCAGTGTACTGCTGGCCGTTGTTGACTCAAGGTGGCGAAAGAAGGTTTCAAGGACCAGGCTGAACTACGACTACGTCGACGACGACGAATCGAACGAAAAGTGGTCGCGAAGCCACCAACGCGACGAATGAGCACGACGGCAAGCGACAACGCGCAAAATATGTGTTGTCGTTTGAAAAAAGTCGTCGTGCAAAGTTTTTACCGGTATTCGCTGGTTAAGCATTTGGCAAAAACAAACAACTCACTGCTACAGGACAGTAATTTGCCTTTAATACACAAACGTATTGGACAAAACGGCAGAATCGTTATCATTAATGCGAATCGTCATCGTCAATAAACAAAGTCGGTACACTGCAAAATCAAAAAAACCATTAACACAATAAAGTATTATCAATCACTCAGCAAATAACATCGGTTGCAATAGATAAAAATAATTTCAACTAGGTAAACTAATCAATTATGATATTTCCTTAAAGCTGAATACCATATCTAAACGAAGGAAGAAACCTTGACTGGCCAACTAAAGAATCAAAAGGCTCAACTTGCCTCAGGAGGTAGACTTTACGAAGAAAGGATTATATAAAATTACACGACTTAAAAATATGATGTACATGAAACATTTCTCCGGAAGAGGGAAACGAGTACAAGGCAAATGTCAATGATCTCAATGTAACGGCCATTGAACATTAAAATATCACTAATGAGTTAATCAGAAAACGATACGAATCATTGACATATCCAGAAAACCACTGGACTGGCACAAAACATAACAACAGTTTTTATAAGCACAAAATGAGGTTCAAGGGGTTCTTCGAGGTGTGAAGTCAATCAAGCGGCATTGAACCACGACACAGCTTCAGCTGCTGAGATGCTCATCGTAGCTGCTCATTTTCACCAATCTATTTCACCTCGCGTAAAAGTTCAACAACCAGTCTCAATTGGTCCATCATCTCTGACTTGAAATGGCTGAATGCAGTGTTCATTTCAGACTGCATCTGCATGAGGGCAAACAGGGTGTTAGTTGATGTCTCTACCTGACGTTCGAGATGGGTTACTCGAGCGTCGATGACCGACAGCATATTTTCTAACTTGGTCGAGCCGTCGACGCTGCTCTTCAGTTGAAGAAGGGTCGCTTTGATGTCCTTAAGGAAAGTAGTAAAGCTGACACTTGGTCGTGGTCCAAAGTCACTGACCGGAGGTAATCCCGTCGTGATCAGCGACGTGATGCCCGTTGGGCCACCGCTGTGACTGTCAGTTGTAACGGGAGACGAAATAGGACTAGCAGATTGATTAGTACCAGAATCACAAACATTTCCCTTAGAACTAGGGGAATCCCTGAATGTTGGTTTGGCAACAAGCTTCGAATCGATATCCGGAGAATTTACAAGAGAAATACCGTCACACAAGTCTTTGGTCGTGGGGCGGTGCTTAACGGCCAGATGCAGTGCCAGATTCGTAGATTTGCGGAAATGTTTGCTACAGATCGGGCACTGGGTACCCAATGCAGGCAGAGATTTCGAGAGTAAAATGTTCGTCTGATCCGTGTGGAAAACTTCCTGCTTAATTCTGCTGTAGCTGCCATTAGCCGTGGCGGCAATGGCAATCCGGTCGAAGTTGGCCGCGGCGTTTTCGCCGCCATTGCTATTGCCGCGCAACAGTCCGACGGCTGCCGGGATGCAGTTCTCAACCGGTGAACAGTTGTTACTTTGTACAGCGCTGTTGTCACCTATGTAGTGCGTCGCCGTCGACCTGTTGCACTCCTTCTCGTCGCTGGAACCAGTTTCAGTAAGCTGCTCAGACGCTGGACTGTGCAACAGAAGCGGATTAGGAATAAGAACCGGAGACTTCTGAGCAAAAATGCAGCATTCCTTGGTCGCATCTGCAGCGCATTTGTCTGGTTTAAAAAACTGGCTGTCGATGGGACTAACAACCGATGCTTCGGTAGTCAAAATGATCATGCTTTTCTCAAGGAAATCAACAGCCGCCGGGTCCTTCACTGACTTCTTGCCTTTCTTGATGATGATGTCGTCCTTACCAATATAAGCGTTTTGCTCGCGCTTGTGATGCTTCAGAATGTGTTTGGTCAGATTGCCCTTGAGCCGACTGGATTTGCCGCAGAACTTGCACACATACGGCTTTAACGACGTGTGCACTGAGCGATGTTCGGCCAGATTGCTGCGAAAGCGGAATGCCTTACCACAAATCTCGCACACGAACGACTTCTCGCTGTGATACAAACTCGAGTGGTGTTTCAGGCTCGCCTCTGACCAAAAGAATTTGTTACAATGCGTGCAGATGAAGTAGCTGGCTGACACCGTTTTCGTCCCTCTGCCGTTCACAAACGATTCGTCGTCGGCAATCACGCGGACACGGTCACGGACATGGTCACGGTCACGGTAACCGCCCCCGCCTTCACCATCACCATCACCGTCGCCGCCGCCACCGTCTCCACAGTCTCCGCCGCCGCCGCCGCCGCCGCCTCCACCGTCTCCACCGCCATTGTCGTCCGCTTCCTGCTTCAGGCCGTTTTCCCTTTCGTTCTCGTTCTCTTTGGTCGTTATCGCCGTGGTCACTGTTGTCGCGGTGGTCAGTGCTGGCTCTGCACTGTTACACATTAACGAGTCGAAGTTCGCCGCCGCCTCTTTGCTCTTTTTCGCCGGCAGCAGCGTGTCAACAAAATTACATGTCCGACCCAGTTTCGAGCTTTTACGAATACAGTTGGTCAAACAGTTTTTTTCCACTTTAGACAGAGCCATCTACAAACAAAAACATTAGTGCACAGCAGCATAGAAAATGGCTAGGCGAAGAAAGCGAAGCCGAAGTCGAAGGCGAAGCGCAAATGCGGTCATTATCGGTTGGCCAAAACAATCATTTGAACGAACGGGCAACCCCCAGCAATGTGACGCGACTCGGCACGGCGGGGCCAAGCAGGGCGGAGTTGCTTCGGGGTCAGATGAAATGAGGTAGCAGAAACAAGAGTCGTTCGGCACCAGACAACAGGCCAAGGCAGAAACTCGCAGCCGCCGTCGTTCAGTAGTTCGTAGTGCGCGACAGGACGCGCGACAGACAAGTGGCTCTGCTAGCACGGTTGAGACTGTGAGTACATGAAACCGGTGCGGATGCGAGACAACACCGCTACTCGGCATTGTAACTAGTTTAAACGCTGAGCGGCACTACCTCCGTTGTTCGTTGCCGCGTCGACACGCGACTTCTACAGTAAGGGCGGTCGCAGCGCGACGCCAGGCACTGTAAACTTCATCATTATTCGCCTTGCATCGCATCACTGACTATCACGTGTACGCAAGTGGGGCAACGGTAACGGATGGTTACATGGGATCGGGCCAATACGGATCGCCGACTGGCCGATTTACAACTTCTGTACAGTTCATATGAAGCACGTTCGTTGCCGTTGACCGAAATGAAGCTGCTTTCGCAGCAGGCGGTGAAAGAAGAATTCTCCAATTCGGCCTGTTTCGCCAGTGGTTGCAGTCGTAGAACCGGCCGCCCGCAGTTGAAGCGGGACAGACAGCACAGATGAAAAATCGAATACAAGAGATCAAGAAGAAGCTGGCCTATCTGCACCATATGCCGGTCATCAATTTCATGACGGTAATCGATCGACACCGGCTGCGCGTTGTGCCTTCTCCTCGGCGGCCTGCGGCATGCGCCATCATACAAGCCCGTACCATGCGCAAGCGGACGTGACGCTTCGCGTCGCTGGGCTTCGTAGTGATGGCAGCGGCTTTGGCGGTTTAGTAGTAAGGTCTGCGTAAGACACTGCATCGTCCTTGCAGCACAGCACACTAGGAATTGCCAACCGATCATGGTCCTCATTGAGGCAACGGCAACGGTGATCAAAGCAGAATTCGAACTCGAGTATGAATTCAAATTCTACCGCAACAACCGGAGTAAGTCGTCGAGGTGTGTCACTTCTACAATTACAGACTTGGGCACAAAAACCGGATCAAAGATGTAAGCTTACTCACTGGAATGCGTACAATCGAAAGTGCACAGTGTGCAATTTTCCAGTTATTGATTTTATAAGTGGTTTATGGTTCGGTCTGGCATTTGCTACAGTGATCGCAGCAAGGCGGAGCGACAGAAAAGTCTGAATGGCCGTAATTACTATTCGACGCTGTACAACGATTTGCGGACCAGTGCTGTACGGCTGTCTGAAGCAGGCAACGGAGGTCTAACTTGCACCACTGACCTGAGTGACCGAACCGGCACTTGACAGTCAACTGCTGATCGCTGTCAGCCGCCCTCAGCTGGATGGACATCGAACGGCTACCTGCTCTTCCGTGCGCATGCTACCTGCCCGCCAACCGGACGCCTGTACTTAACGCGACGTCCTATGGTCAGTGGTCTGTTTGATGGAATGTCGGCAGCCGCCAGTCGGTCAGTGCACGAAGCACGAAGAGACTACCGATCTGACGAAGAAGAACTACCAGTTGGCTGCAACTGTTCGCTGCTTCATCATGCCGGGAAAAAGTTCATACGCTTTGCAAAGAACCGGCTGCGCCAGTGCAGTACCTCGCCTGTCATAGCGTGCGAAATGCTACCTCGCTGCTCTGCACATCTTGCTAAGATGCAACGCAAACAGACCAATTTATTTATGCAAAAGCAGTTCTGTAAAAATCAAACATTCCGTAAAATTACAGTCACAACCATGACTTCCACATGTGTGCATGCCGCCAGCTCGCCTTGGCGTTCAGATGACACATACCGCTTGGACCCTGCGGATCATTCACTTCTTCACCGCTATGAGGAGGTACCGGGCAACATCATAAACGTAAAACACGCTGAGCATAGTCTTCCGGGTGCAAATCAGCCACAAATTTGTCAACGGTTATATGCAAATGACGACTTATAGCCAGAATTAATTGGATGAAGAAAGTGGTGATGAAAGTAGATTCAGGAACAAGCTTCGAAATTGTCCTCGAGCCTTGGCAAGATATTACGCGATGAATCTTTCATGATGTGATTCATGGTTTGAATTCTGAAGGAACAAAGCAGACTTTGTTCCTTTTAGGCATCAACCAATAATTGCGAATGAAGAATATCGTTAGTAGTTCTTACAACATGCAGATTCAGAGTTTGTCCTTCTCATTAAGGTCAAAGTAACAACATGCAGTGCATGCTTACGAAAGGAATAGCATGAAACTGTTTTACTAGCGTACGTCTATTCATCGACCGCGGTCATACGAGCGCTTTATACAGAACTTGAGCTAAAGAACTTCTGCCCATGACGAAGATCGCCGATAATCTGGTAGCAACAATTCTACGCAGACAAAAGCGGCCAAGAAAAGAGCTTAACTGAGAAGCAAGTTAATCGCCGCGCATTGTCCCACTTTTGTCTCCGTTCGTCGTGATGTCACGCTGTCGATCCCGTTGATACGTTGCATTCGATGATCAGACGACAGATTGAGGAGCAGAGAACGTGGTA